AACAGGCTGGACAACAGGCTGGACAACAGGCTGGACAACAGGCTGGACAACAGGCTGGACAACAGGCTGTTGGAAGACTCCTGCATTGTAGTCCAGAGGGGGGCCAGGGTATGGTGGTGCTGGGATTTGGAATCCCTTTTCCATTGTGTCTTTCTATAGAAACAGAAATGAAGAAAATAGAAAATAGAAATTACAGTAAAGCTCTGAAATCCAATTTTTTTTTTCTCTGAATAAAACAAAGTGAAAAAAAGTTAAACCACCAAAGTCAAGAGGAATGGGCTTAAGTCGAGACTGAAACCTGGAATCCCTTCTCACCAATGTTTGAAAACTTGCTTATCAGGTTGAAGCAATGAATCACATCACACTCTTTCAACATATGCAAGTGAGCAGGTTTGGTAGCACTGTAAATTTTTACAGGAAATTGTAGAACCTACTCTCACATGACTAAAAGTCCTGTTTCTCTGCATCAAATCACTAAATACCTTTGAGTTTTATATGTTTGGTTAAATCTGTTATGGTGCTGTCTTCATTTGCATGTGTTTTTAAAAAATACCCTGATAAAAATGCAAATGTTGTTCTGTGAATGTTAGTGTTCTTTTCGAAATATGTTGCATTCAAGTAGAGTCTTATTCAGTAATTGATCATTTTTAATTTTATTGATTTATTTATTTTTGACTATCTGCTGCAAAGGTTCAGCTTTAATACTTTGACTCGCTCATGACCTGGTAGATGACTCTTTTTCAATTCAGAAAGACAAAGTAAACAACTTTCAATGGACTGTGGATCCATTTTTTTTCATAGTCAACTGAAAATTGACCCCACACATATCTTTGGACTGTGGGAAGTAGCTGGAGTGTCCAGAGACAATCCATGCAAACACAAAGAGAGCATGCAAACTCCACACAGGAAACACCCCAAAGACCTCAATGGTAACCACTTCATCACTGTGCCACCTGCCTTTTGATTTTATTTTTAAAAAACAACAACAACAAAAAAAACCTTCACCTATTGTTGTGTTTCATAAACCTGGCCCAAAGATGTACCACTGACTAAAAAAAAAGACTGTGTTATAACTGACCTGAATTAAATTTTATAACCTTGTTTCATAAAATAGAAGAAAAAAAAAGGTTTGTTAAGGACATTTTACCAACAAAAAACACGCTGCTCATAGCTTTAACATTATAGCTTCTTAATTTTTTCTTACTCTTTTTTTTCTCCACTTATATGATTGAATGTTTTTCTTAACCTGAGAAAAGATCACATGCTTCTTACCTTGATAAGTCGGTCAGAGGTGTATGGGTGGCAGTGTGGTCCTGCTTCTTTCTCAATGTGACAGTGACTGTATTAAATACACAAATGCAACTGCATTGCGTCGAAAAGAAGGTGGAGCAGCAACACTATGAATAGGCAGGTGATTAGGTGGGTGTGTCAGTGTTTTTGTAAAATTCTAAATGTCATTGTCTTGCTTTAGTGCGCACATGCACATACTGAGATGTACTTCAACACTGTGATCTTAGGATCCTGAGAAAAGAAGGCAAAAGGAGTTCTTTAAGTTTGCGAAGACATTTCATCTGTCATTCATAGAGAGAAGTGAAACTTTTAAAGATACCAATTACTAATCATGAGCGTCATCACATGAGCAAAGGGGTGAAAAATGGTGTGGGTCATTATCATCGGTGGAAGATAAGGATGAAACCACTGTGAGACGGCCCGTTCTATCATGTGACCTAATGAGGTCATCTAATGCAAGGTGCGAGTGGAGGTTCAAACACCTGGCACAGTATGTCAGGACTGCATTAGAGGTGGTTGATAGCTGATGTTATAAGTCACTACCCCTGTTCAACAACGGTCATTCACAGTGGAGATAGATGGACTCGTCTTTCAAACCATCTGTCTTCTCGGTCCAAAATGTGAACATTGGCATCCTCAAAAGAGTGTCTTGTCCTGTGTCTCAGTTTTGTCCTGTTGAGTCTTGTCCTGTTGATGTGGCTCTTCTATGTTTTGCCATGTGTTTGTGGATCTAACTGCATCCCATTTTTTAATAAACATATTCAACAAAGCACCTATATGCTTGTTATGTTGACAAATTTAACTAAATGTTCAAATACCAAAACTCAAATCACCACATGTTTGGTTTTAATTTTATGAGTTGAAATTTCATTTTAGTTACTCAAAAGAAATTTAAACCAAATTTAGTAAACTACAATAACCATGAAACTTGTACTGAAAGTAATCTAAAATCTGTGTTTATCTATGAGCAGGAATTAGAAAGGCATTTGCCGTAGATCATTCTGTCAGTACTTTTACTCCTTTAATTTATGGCAGTCATACAGAAGCCCAAAATCAGTAAGACCTGTAAGGAATTTTTTTGTCATATCTTTTTTACTAAAGTAATTTTTGACCACTGAATGTTTACTTAATCAAAGTAAAGAAGAAAGAAATTAAAAGTAACATAAATCCTGAATGGGCATGGAATGCAAAGGTTAAAAATGTAATTGAAAGACAGTGAAGTCCTTAAATAAGGATAAATCAGTGACCCACAACCCAGACTCACTTATCTGAGTCTGGGTCGTGGGGGCAACAGCCTAAGCAGAGAACCCAGCCCTCCCTTTCCCAGTTCCACGGAGTGTTCCACAGACCATTCCAGGACCAATCTCCTTGGGATTGTGTCTGGCTTATCCATCTTGTTGCTCTGATGAATTGCTAGGTTCTTCATACTCGTGGTACTTCTGTACATGCTTTGTGACTCCTCTGACTGCCCTCCCCTCCCATTTTTTATGCAGTGTAAGCAGTGTGCTGCTTTGAATAATGTGTAGGTAGGAAGTAAAAAAAAAAACTTAAAATAAATGTATGCAAATTATATACAAACATTCATATAATAAAACCAAACCTATGAAAGACAGAATAAAGCATTAACTTTATTAACTACGTCTACCCCGTAACACCCGAACCACCTCAACTGGCTGCTTTCTATGTGGAAGAGTAGCGGTACTCTGAGCCCCTCCCAGGTGGTTGAAGTCCTCATCTTTTCCAGCTGAGGACCATGGACCATCTCATTCCCGCCGCTTCACACTCAGCTGCGAACCATTCCAGTGCGAGCTAGAGTCCACCGCCTGATGAAACCAACAGAACCAGATCATCTGTGAAAAGCAGAGACAAGAGTCTGAGACTGCCCAAGTGGAAGCCTTGCGCCTCTTGGCTACGCCTAGAAATTCTGTCCATAAAAATTATGAACAGAATAAGTGACAAAGGGCAGCCCTAGCAGAGTCCAACGCCCACCGGGAACAAGTTCGACTTATTACCAGCTATGTGGACCAAGCTTTTGCAATGGTTACATAAGGATCAAATGGCTTGTAGCAATGGGACAGACTTCCAAAGCACATCCCACAGAACACTCTGAGGGACATGGGTCTTGCAGACCAGGGTCTCTGCCAGGCTTTCCAAGTGTATCCTGACCTTACTTTCATGCGAGCCTGGTCTGTCCAGCATCCTCCCCCGCCACCTGATCCAGCTCACCACCAGGTGGTGATTAGTTGACAGCTCAGCATCTCTGTTCACCTGAGTGTCAAAATCAATCATTAACTTATGACCTAGTATGTTATGGACACCCTCATGTTTGAACATGGTGTTTGTTATGGACAAACTGTGGTTTACACAGAAGTCCAGATCTGGCAGGCTGTTACTCCCAGTCATGCCCCTCCACGTCTCACTGTCATTGCCCACATGAGCATCAAAGTCTCCAAGTAGAATGATAGAGTCCCCACCCGGTGATTCCAAGAAGGCCAGGTACTCTAAATGGTAAGCACAGACAGCAGTGAGGACCCGTTTTCTGCAGGGAACAAACCCTCTCGTCCACTGGAAAACCCCCAACGTACAGGCAGCAAGTTGAGGGATACCAAGATACCCACTCCAGCCTGCTGCTTCTCACCAAAGGCCAGTGAGTGGGGCACAGGTTTGATCTGTTTGGCCTGGCAGCAGGTTGGCAGATAAGTAATCCAGTATGCATAAGTATAAAGGGTCTGCTGGCACCAATTACATGTCAGAGGGATACCCTCTCTCAAGTGAAATTATCTTGTTATTGTCAGTGGTATAAACATTATCCGCTCTTATCATATTTATTTGCTAACAGTCACTGCTGCTTGGGTCCAGATTGCATTTAACTATGATGTGGGTAGCAACACTTCAGTGACCTGTGTTTCATTGTCGCCATTGCCTTATTTAAATCTTGTAGGTGTTTAAATGCTTTTTGGTATAGTGACCTCCTGGGTGTTAACTGTCACAGTCTGTTAGGCAGAGGACTCACTCGCAGGACTCTGAAGTTTAGAGAGATGGAGAAGGATTTATTTACAATGTGTCACCAAGTGAAGATATATACATATATACAGTGGAACTGGTAAACAGGCAACATGGGGCTCCGGGGGGGGAGGTGTCTGAAGGTGAGGGAAGGTCCAGGGCAGGCACACACACGCTCCTCTTTTACACAGTCCGCGACTCACTCAGGCAGTCCGATCCAGAATGCTTATGCGCACTCACACACGTCCACAGGAATTCATGCAGCAGGAGAGATGGGCAGGGAATCCAGTAGGCCTGTACACAAAGGAAAACCACGTTAGGAGGAAACTCTAGACTAGGCTACACCAACGCTAGGTAGTGCGACGATCCAGCGAGGAAGCAACATCTCCTGCCATCTTAAGTAGTCTGCAAGGAATAATACTCGTGATGAGAAGCCAGAGCAGAATCAGCATGAGTGAGCCACAGGTGTGTGTTGAGGGTGGGTTCAGAGGCAGGGAAGCAAAGTCCAGTTACGCCCTGGTGGGAGAGGCGAAGGCACACCACACTCTCTCCAGAGGGAGATTTTTGTCTTGAAATTTGAGGGGGCTCTGACTATGAGGGAAAGTCTTCTTCACGTTGTTCTTCTTTTACATTGTCTTTCCTCCTTCCATTTCAAATACAACACTGATTATTCTATTGATTATTCAATGATTAATCAAGTAATTAGATGAAAAAATAATACTTTTAAGTTATTAATGAGCACTAATACATCTTCAAAAGAGAAAAAAAATGTTTAGTCTTTTAAAATAAAATGCTCATTGGTTTCTCTTTTAGATATTGCAATGTTTTTAATGGTTCGACTGATTACAGCTACATGTATCGAAAAAAAAGTCATAATAAAATAACATATTTTGAAGAAAATATTTTCTTAAATGTTGTATCATTGTATCTCCTGGATAAGATACATTTGGTGTGCGTTCATGGGTATGTGTGTGTCTACATGGTCCTGGTGAATGAGTAAGTATGTGTGTTTAAAGGGGAATGCGGTGGCTGCAATGAGGAAAAGCAAGAATATCAACATTCTCAGAAGTGAGGTTTGGCCTGTGTGTTAATGCAACTTGCAGATAACAAACGTTCTGATTAGGTTGATGTTAATCAATCATGTTTATAATTAATGTTAATAATAATTAAATGTCCAGCCTAACAGTATCGGCTCAGTGGCCAAAGTTTTACTGACTGCAGTATACTTTTAATTGCCTGCAAATATATATATATATTAATCATTTTAACTATAAAAATGATTTATCTATATTATATAGATATCTCAATTTGAAAAAGAAGGTTACTAAAGCTTTGAATTACATATGGTCTTGTAAATCTCCTGGCTCCTTTAGACTAAGGTGATCAGCCGCTCTCTTTTCCTCGGACGTCTCCACTTTTCACGTTCTGTCCGGGACGTCCGGGGGGATTTTCAAGATTGATGAAAATGTCCGGGTTTTTCTGTAGGCCTGAGAAACCATATGTTCTGCGCTCACAGACGGGACAGACAGCGCGCAGCAGTGTGCCTGGTGATGTTTCAAAGATGTCAAAGAGCAAGTGCATCTTTTCAGACGAACTGCAAAAGAAATTTCCCTCGTACCGTCCCGGTCGAAATAAATTGGAGGCTGAGTGCACCGTGTTCAGAGCTGGCACATACATTTGTGTGTCTAACAAAGGTGCCGGAGATCTTGTTGCTCACGTGGACACAGAAAAACATAAAAAGGCTGTATGAAAATAAATCTATAAGTTGACTGAGTTCTTTGTTACACCTGGGAAAACGAGGATGCTGTGGTATCTGCAGCAGATTGCACTGGCAATTCATACTGTGAAGCATCACAATATCTACAGATCCATGAATTGCACTAGTGCATTGCTTAAAAAAGCATTTACAGACTCTAACACAGCTAAAAAGTTCAGCAGTGCGCGCACCAAGACTGAAGCTCTTGTCAATGGTGTGATAGCGCCACATTCAGTAAAGTCACTCGTAATGAAATCCAGTACTGTCGCGTTTCTACAGA